CAGCACAAGGACCTCCGGCACCGGGGACTTCACCACCAGACCGACAACAACGACGATGGCGAAGACGTTGCTGGGAAAGGTGAGTTGATAGCTTCCACACGATAGGTGGTGGGTGGGCAAAGAGAGGTAGGCAGGCAGGCAGACAGGTAGGTGGACAAACATGTTAGAAGGTGTAAAGCCTTCACTTTAAGTGGGACCCTGGTAAAATCCATCCCTCACCTCCACGTGGTCCTGGGTGGTAACGTCAGCTTCTAAACTAACGGCTAACGAGGGCTCTGGAATGAATACTCCCCATTAATCTCTGGTAAGTGTTTAAATGTTCGTACTATTTTGAAAATCCTTTTTTCTCCTTGGAATTATGTTTAGTACTGCAAATATTTAAAATTCTGATTGCTTTTCGTGCACTAATTTTTTTCTTTAGATGATGCAAACAGAAGTGCGAGTAAATTGTTAATTTTTTTGAAAAGTGGTCAAATCATTCAGTAGGATGTTTTAGTTCACTTCGCGATCTACCCTTCTAGCTCAACATACTATTGTGCAAAGTTACCATCTCTTTCTGAATTCGATAAGCTTCGATTGGTACACAGTTTGCTGTTCACAGATTTAAAGCTAGTTATCAAAGATCATTCATCCCATAGTTAATTTACAACTTAGCTAATGCACTTTTTATTGATTTTTTTCATTTTCATTGTAGCCTAATCACGTATTCCATCCGATCAATATGAAGTGATGGGGGGCACTTAGTTTTCACACAGTCAGTTTTCAATTGGATAGAAGTCACAGGCTCTTTCGGCTTATCTCATATAATCCTGTGTTCGTAAAAATTTAAAATGTCAACTGTCATATACTATTTCGTTCTGTATTTAGCATTTGTAGGTTGTCCCGTGTACCCTTCGAATATCCACTCATATTAATATTCATATAACTTTTCGATTGGAAGTAAGTTATATTTATCGATCAATAACTGCAATATCACCGACACAACCTATATTCTGCACTTACAGATACACTGTTAGCTTTGTAGGCATTCGTTGTTGTAGTGGGAGAATTGAATCCGAGTGAAGCCGACTACCATAGTCTTCTCGTTCTTCTTGACACGACACGACACGACACGACACGACAATCCACAATTGTAATTCAATAGTTGAGTATTTGTGTTGGCATTGCAGAGACCATCAGCATTTCCATCTAGTTAATAATTGAAGCGTTTTTTCCCCAATTATTTTAATTTCGAACAATGGAAAGGGCCAAAAACTGGCATATTAATGCGGGCAACTGAGAAATTTGGCCAAAATAAAGGTGGAATTTGGGTCCCCTGCATAAGATCAAAATTTGAAACACGATCCCTTGTGTAATAGAGCCAACTACATGCGTTTAGGGTGGATTCTTTCTCCAGCCTCCTTGGACTCGAACTGATCATGAATAATGAATTGAAATATTCTTTCATAATATTTTCTCTGGTCTCTAATAATAATTCAAATGTTTATGTAGTATATAATGCTGCAATATTCGGATGTGATACATGATCATTCTACATAGACAAATTAAAGAGAAATGCGATTTCGCAATTTTGTTGTATGAACTAGTGCCAAAATCAATCTCTGTGCTCATGGTTGATGAAAAGCGAAGGAATATGCTTTCTATTGCTAATTTCGTGACCAGCTCTTTCTCATCCCTTTTCACTTTAAAATGTCCTTTAAAAGCAAATAACTTGAAGGTAAGAGGAGAGTAGAAAGGAAATACAACACTTCGTGAATGCAATCGCGTATTTTGGTTTCTTGTCAGTATGCAATCAAATTTTTTTGTCACTGGGAGGAGTGATTAATTGTGCATTAATTTCGTTTGGCGGTCTCGATATTCCCTACCTCTTTCTCATTTCTTCCTGGTTTATCCGACTCTCTGTGATGTTTCGGTTGAGGAATGATCAGATAATACAGTTGGAAGAACGAAAGCAAGAGTCGGGGCAACAGGTGCGAGTTCTTGAGAATGCTGCCTTGCGAGCTGGAGACGAAATGCGCACCAGTTCTGCCTCACTGGCCCAAGGTGATGCTGAGTTGGTTGAGCTGCGTGAGGCTCTTGCTGCTTCCCAAGCCGCACACACTGCGGCGACAAAACGCAGCGAGGAGATTCGTGCTGAATTGCTGGGTACTGTTGAAGAACAGCAACAGGAATCCGATCGCACTCTGTGCCAGAAGGAAAAACAGATCGGAGTCCTGCAAGAGAGTCTCAGCTCCTTGCAAAAGGAATCCGACAAGAGTTCAAAGCAAAATGTAAGTGTCAGTTGGGCATTTGTCTTGGTGTAAGTAAAATGCTGGAGTACATTTCATTCTTTACAATATATAAGGAGAAGACAATGACGGACAATTTGGCCTATGTGGAGAAACTCAAAGACCAATTGAAAGAAAGTACCCAAGGTGTTGATCAAATGCATTGAATGCTCATTAAATTCTTTCCACGGTTCACTTCCCACTTGATGGTTGCAAATAAGTCCACTCTAAAGCTAGTGAGGATATAAATATATTCTTTAGACCGATGAAAATCTTTCAGCTTCAATCCATACGTACAACTTGGCAGGACACGACTTTAAGTAAATAAGTGTTCGAAGGTTCTGACATACTGTTGGGTTAGTGCTAGTCACTAATTTCGAACTAATAAAATCAATACTGCCTGCATTATCTCCGACCATTAGGATAAGTTGACTTATTTGTACCATAAGAATTTGTTACATTTTTGGTGATGTAACATTTTGCAATGAATTGGGAATTCATACTGGGATGGGATTTTTGGCTTCCGTCTTGGAATTCTAAGTTGAATTACAAGTTTACATTGCAATAAATTTTGTCAGAGACGTTAGAGAACCAGAAAATGTAACAGAAGGTAGAGCTTTTGCATCAATTGCATGCAGTAGAATTTTGTTCAAACTACTACTTCTTCTAGTCAGTGAAGCACATTTCAAACAAAAGAAGTCAAAGTCTAGAGCATCTTTGGCGGTGTGTTTATTAATACCTACTAGTAATTGAGATCAAGCAAATGGTTATGCATTGTAATAGCCTACTAACTTGAACAAGACTTAAGGCCACTTATTGGGAGTTATCTAATTCACATAAATTCGGTAGGTACGGTTGAAGACACCTCAGAAAACTCCCAAGAGTATACTTGAACAACCTGGTTCTGAGTGCAAACGACGTCGAGTGTGTCTAATTTCGCCAGAAAGAACTTCAGAAGTAGAGGATACTCAAGAGGGGCGAAAACCGAAAGGTCTCATTTTGATTCAATGGGAACAGTGGATCTGGGGATGCAACACCTGAGAGAGGTGGTGCCTCAAAGCTACACTTGGCAACCCGCACACCAAATGCCCATGGAATTCCCCAAATTCGTGTGAGTGCAAATGACTTCTGATTTGTTCGAAACCATTTAAGTGAGTAAGCATAGTTTGCTTGAATTATGTCCTATGGACACCAAGATATTGGAAGACCTAGTTCAAACAGGAATCAGGAAGATAGGTGAAAGGCATCAATATTGAGGTGAGGTACTTTTAGTCACGAAATATGGCTTAATGCAATGTACAAACATGCAGATATGACAAGAGTTGCTGCAGGCCCAATGTAAGTGCATATATATTGGGGGATTCCATTAAAATAGGACATAACTCTGGGATCGAAAGGAGAACACAGATGTAAATTGTAACGTCATTAATACTTTTCGTAGCTAAAATGAGTCATATTTAGTTTAGAAGGAATGAATGAACAAATCTAGTGTTCATTGCTTACAAAATTAGCATGGTTGTTAAGAGGTGCCGAGTCGCAAGGTTGTCACCTTGTACAATGATGGAGTAAAGCCTGGTGTGTTCTCTGATTTGTGACTATTTTGGGACACTTTGAAAATAACAGGGTCCACAATAATGGATGGACTTATTTCGTTTTCTGATACGAGTCTTGGAATATAATATGTTGGCGACAGCTGATGCAAATTTTTACGTTTTTCTTCGGTTGTGGTCTTTTTGCTAAAGTAGCCAAATCCCACACGATGCAGAATAAATGCTTCAATAGGTGGTCTTTACTCCAGGTTTATAGATATTCAGAAATGAATTGAGAATCAAGTGCCCTTCTTAGGTGTAGGCTATTAGAGAAAATTGGCATCTTGTCATCATCGTATCCAACATTTCAGAAAGAGAAATAAGAAGTTGCACATTTCACTGTGGTTTGTTGTGCATTGGTTAAAGTTCTGTAACCATTTAGGCTATGAGCTAACATTTGCAGTTGCGTAATTGCAGCATATTGTTATCCATTCTATAGTGCCAACAAACTTGAGTGCCTACGATGTTACTCTTTACAGAGCGCCAGATTTCAGGCTTTCATTCAAGTGGTTACTATTTCGTCAGAATAAGTAGCAATGAAGTCGTAAGTGAAATCGATTGAAGTAGATGTGCGGAAATGAATGTAAGTATTTACTGATATCACGAACGTCAGGTAAGCAGTACTTCAATAATGGAAGCATAAGAAAATGATGGGTACTGGGAACAATATGGGACAACAATGGAAATGATAAATTTAAAACCCGGCATATTTAGGTACCAAATGTTCGAAAAACATCGAGTACAGGTAATGACAACCGTGGTCCCCCAACCAATACTCGTACCAGCACACGACAGAGCAGATCATCCAGAAACCACGCGGTTACCCTATCAGCGTCAACGGTTGCTGCTGTTGCATCCGAAGCATCCTGGTTTGAATCAGATGAAACATTCGGACTGGGTGCAGAGGAGTGAAGTTTTGTTTGAGTAGAAATAGCGCATTTATGCTTCTTTTTATTCAAGTTTTTTAACATATGAGTAGTATAGTTACCCAGTAGGTTAGACCGATGTATTAGTTTAAATAAGTGGTAACAAATTTTATTATCATCCTTATGCCATTTTCTTCCTATTTCTTAAACGAGCAGTGAATGTTATTGTTAAAATATCATAAAATAATCTGCTCCTGAAAATTTATGTCTCAAACCTATTTATAGTGAAATCATACGTGTTATCTATATTGTTTATTCAGTTGCACAATGCAAACGAAAGTTTGATTGAGACAATTTTAGAACATCGGCAGTACTAACGGAAACATGGACTCTTCTTTTGAGTTAGAAAGTGGTGGAACTAAAGTCTACTTTTAGAGACTTAAATCGAGGGACATGTTTTCGTTATGCAAGTAGTCATAAAGTCAGATTGAAGAAAACACTAAGTACACTGAAGCTGAATATTCGAAAGTTGTGGTTTTGATTTCTTGATACTTCCAAAATGCCAGTACCTATTCGGTGACTTGGAGTGTAACTACCCTCAAAACTAACTGTGCCTTGTAAAAGATGTCTGTTCTAGTTAAAAGTAGAGAAAAATATAATAATTTGCCTAAAAACCTGAAAGCTGCTTTTGCAAATGGACACCGAAACAAACAAAGAGATTAAGTGATTGTGTACATGTTGTAGTGGGTTAGTTATTACCTCCTAAGTACTAGCGTTTATTTAAAACGTATTCAATGTTTGCAAAACGCTGATGACAAAGCGACTCTGAAGAAGAAGAAGTGTCACCCACCGAGAAGGCTGGATCAGGTATTTTAGGAATACACACACACACACACACTCACACTGGCTCATTGGTAATATGGACCAAAGTGAAAGGTAGCATGCCGAGGAGTTATCTCCTCTGTGTTCATTGGGCATTGGTAGCTGTGGTCACTCTCGCTATTGCACTATTTGCTTATTTTGATCCGATTTTGTCATAAATTATAGTATGCACAACTAATAGGAATGTCCATAATTAGATGCTATATTATACGTGTTAACAAATAAAGGATGATTTAAATGGATTAATTATGAGCATAAACAGATAAAATGTAATAACTGAAATAAATAATGGTCAGAGATTCATTTATTTCACTAAAAATTGAAATAAACAACAAAACACTCATAAAATTTGGTATGCGTAGACAGGAATGGGAAGTGGGTGCACAAATCGAATGTTTGTTGTTCTCCACCGTGAGTCAAACTGTGTGAATATCTATTAAAATCATTCACAGTACCTCTTGGGTTTAAAGTAGCATCATTAGGGAGCTAATTTCCCCTGAACATTAGATGAATACTGTTCGTATCTCTATTTTTCACGAGGCCAATTCTCTCTTTTAATTTGAGTACCGTGTCGGAACTTGATATTTTAGTTTTAATATATCCCCCATCTATACAATGCACTTCGATTTCTATTGTATCATCTGTCACAATGAGAAGCTTCACCTTACGTCGGGTTTCATTGTTCCCATCTATTTGGTAATCACTCAATAGTTGAAGTCTGTCCAACAATTTCATATTTTCCAGTTTACCAGGGTAATTCTTCGTTTCTCTAACTCCCATGATTTGGCCACTTGTGGAAATAGAGATTCCACACGGTCATAACAATTGTAGTCCACTTGAATCGTTTTATCCGGTCCCACAATTTCAATAAATGCTGGTATGATATCCACATCAATGTGTTCACTTCTATAAAAGTCAAAATCATTTAAAATGTTGTTTTATCAAGTCTTAGTCTTCTCAGTCGTTTTGGATGAGTATGGTATGGCTTTTTTCTCAGATGATTTTTTGGTGCTGTCAAGTCTAAGTATTCTCAGTCGGTTCAAATGACTATAGTCTAGCTTTTTCTTATCAGGTCTAAGTCTTCTCAGTAGGTTTGGTTTAGTATCGTATAGCTTTTTCTTATCAAGTTTAAATTTGTTCGAACTATGTTTCCCGTTCTCTAATCAAACAAAATAGTAGAAAACACCCTTTAAAGTGAATTTACAATTGAACACTTAATACACTAACCCTCCCCATACAAACAGTAGTACAAGTCGAGCACCATGTTTACTAAACCATTACCATTAGCAGAATTTCAGAAATATAAAAAATTTACACTTTACATCAAACGATAAAATGCAAGTAAAGTTATAGGAGTACTGACTAACGTTTTAACTGAGATATGACCCAAGAAAATAGCCGGCTGTCTGGTGAATGAGAGCTGGAGATTACAGAATGTCTCGCCAAAACTGAACGACTCAATCGGACATTCGAGGTCTGAGGAGGAGTAAACGAATGAGGAACAGCGCGTGATAGATCTGAAACAAAAGATACAGTAAAGCTTTCATAACAGACGTACTCTGTTCATACATTATAGAAATCTTCTTACCAGGAGGTTGTCGTGAAGCGATAATGGGGACTTTCCCTGTCTCAGGTGTCGATTCCGTGAGGGGACCTAAATAAAAATAAGGAAGTATAACACCGAGGTACACAATTTATCAGTCAAAAAAATTATGCAGTCTCTTGTTCACACATGGCTTATAAGCACATTTCAAATAGAACAAATATACTGCACTAAATGAAAAGGCAAGAATGATTTGGTTAGTCTATTAAGTTGTAGTAATATTACGGTGAGAAAGACTTTAGATTATCTATTATTCCGGGGTACGCAATTTGCAAGTACTAAATATATAAAATCCGTTTGCGAAAAATACGATCTTCTTTTTCTCCCTTAACCCAGGTACCCGCGACACAACCTGCGATTTCTAATCTTTGCATTTTAAATTTAAATAATTTTATGTGGATTTCATCTGAATCAACTCAGCCTCAATATTTCAAGCATAACAATTGGGACGCCTCTTAATCTACAACGAATTTAATCTGGCGTCGTTAACACAATCCGAATTAAGAAACAAACAACGATCTAATCCAGCCAAACTCTCCACAACCAGCTTGATAACACTTGGTCAGGTCATTTCCTACACCACCTCCAGACGTATTTGCTGATATATATTTAACTACTTCAGGCTCACATCACCCGACTTTTCTTATATCTGTTCATCTTTTGTCGGTGCTAACCCTTTTCATTCAAGCCGAAACTTCTCTCTTCTGACAACTACGACAAATGATACTCCACCCGATGAACTGCAAGAATAAGCACCCATTTGACCCATCTATTCATACTCATCTCCGCCTTTCACCTAGTTTAGGCGATATCGGAGAAGCAACATACACTTGTACGGCTTCTCATAACGTAACACAAGCCATCTGGGACGATAGACGTCGACCACCACTCAGGTATATCACTAACGGATGAATCTATTCCATTCAAATACGACTGAGGGCACACATGTATGATTTTATAACATAAACTTCAATAGTAATTACTGTCCAAGACTCACCACTACCCGAAGGGAGCGGAAGCGAACGACGACTCTCCACCATTCGTTCGTAATTCTTTTTCAGAAGTTCAAAAGGCGCCACGGTGGCAACTTTGTCCTTCTTCTTCTCCTCTTTCTCAACATTCCTTTCTAAAATTGAAAATTCGGACACTTTCAAAATAAAATCAACGTTTCGGTTGAATTGGAAGCAACGCAATACTGGAGAACTAAAGCTATTGGAAACTGAACACAACGGAAGCAAGGACATTGACAAATATTAGACCAAAATAATAGTAGGTTCATCTAATGTCTATTAATCTCTTCCAGGCAGTTGCTATTGCTGACTAAAGACACCAAGAGAGAATAAGTCACCCCGAGTAGAATGTGGAGATTGATTTAGTGATTGATTAATTTACCAAAACTTGAACGCCTCTACCACAACTATCATATCTGGTCTCCTAACCGTCAAGCATTGGATCCATAAGAGTGGAAGCCAAAAATTAATAAGCACATACAAAGATGAGATAAAACTCATGCCTATAGTTCAACAAAACACCCTCATAACTTCTAAACAAGAAAGCAAACACGTTCATCACCCCGTGAAGGAAATAAAAGGATTTTTCAAATGAAACGCCAATAGCAGGTTACATGGCTGTCGATGTAGAGGCCTTCCAAGTAGGAAGTCGCGAGATAAATGCCCAGTGATGATGCACATCCAGTTTTCATAAGGATGGCTCCTTCCCCTCATCAAACTATGGAGTTAATAACATTTCTCCTAATATTCTACAGGCCACAAAAATAGTGAAGTTCATCCATGCACACTCTATGAAACCAATGACCACAATAGCACCAATTAACCATAATCAGTTAATAAAAGTAGCTTTAGAATCCGAGCTCTTAGCAAAAAACTGCTGCACACTAAATCCTCAAGTGTTGTTAACAATTCACTTAAAAGATTTTTCTCATCAAATCATTGAATATGCATTTTTGAATTTCAAATTCATACCCCAAAGGCGATCGCAACATTTACGAGGCATTAGGAAAGTGCACGAAATGGTATTGACAACACACAATGGTGCATTTGTGCGTGTTAAGGAGACTACCGCAGGTTAGTCTCCTTCGTGTCGCAGCTGGAAACAGGGCGAATCGATACGGGTACAAACGCATCGGCTGACAGTGCGAATAAATCGATGTATAAATCAATGCAAAATGGGTTAGAAAATTATGGAAAAAAGTAAAAAATGTAACGAGTGAGAATTCGCACCGAAACAAAACATTTAGGAAAGAATTACTCACATCAACTAAAAAGTGCACGACAATAGACATTTTGCACATATTTTCCTCATCAAAATCACAAAACAGATAACTCCAAGTACCACCTTACGTGGAAATGAAATGAGCGTAGATTGTCTGAGATCAGGAGCACAGGGGAATGGACATACGAGAATGAGGTAATGTAGGATATTTTTTGAGGAAAGGAAAAAGTTATCAATCATAAAGGTAATATGAGAAGAAAATAAGGAATCTCTTACTTGAGTTACTAACAATTATATTTCTTTTATGCCTCATTTGGCCGTCATTATCATGAACAGGCACTTGTCTTGATCTTCTATTATCAACAATTAAAATGTGGGACACGTCATCGCATGCGTGCACTCATAGGCTTGATGTGCGGCCGTACAACCTCGCGTACTGATTGAGGACAAGAGCACGCAGGCAATAGCAGCTCAAGGGCCCTCGCTTGTTTTACCGGAAGCCGCCATGTTGTATGACTGAGTTTCCTTCCTGTGTACACAAATGCGTGATTTAGCTAGCGAGTAAACGTATTCCTGCAATACGTCTACTTCTTCTGTGAACCCATAGTAGAGGTTTCTGAGTTTAGTCAAGGTTTTCGAAAGTATTTATCCGCTACAATATCGTCTATGCTTAGTTTAACGAATGTACCTTGAATTACAATTAATATGCCAAATGTATATTTGTGCAATGGGACGATGTGTACACCTTTCAGT